ATCCTTTGAGCGTGAATCTATGACCTGATAAGATACAATGCTATCCGTATACACAGGGCACTTAACATACAGCTGACAAAATAAGAATCCCTTGTTCATCAGGACCCCCCCCCCCCCAATCCACACCTGGCATATCGTTAAGCATTGAAGAGGAAACAGTAAATACAACAAGCATTAGTGGGGATGCCCTGATTACTATCATGAGTCGATGCAAGCAAGATTATTGACTCAAATATACAGACAGTTTATCATTCTTCTAGGGTGGGTGATTCAAAACGACAATCTTCTAGAAGGCAAGCCTATTTCTAATGTCACACAGACTTAACCAAATATTTTTGTGTTAGGCTTCAGGGGCTCGTCTTTCTTGCATAAGGTGTGGAAACATGCAAGGGAACGTTTTAAGTACTCCACGCATACTTATTCACCCTGAGGAAATATCCACTCAACTAGTTGGTCAAGTTGTAGATTTTACAAATAGCTAACCGAACTGATTCCATTCTTTAATGTTTATCAAATGAAGATATTTTACATTGTGTTCGGCATACAGCTAACCCAAACAAACAAGTGAGACTTCTTATGAGCAAATCATATACATAAAAAAATAGATAAGCAAGAGGCTTCCTTTATAAAGAATATGATTAGTGACATACCAGGTTTTGAAATAATCCTTTCTTGTGGCTTCAACATAATCTGAAATGTAAATAGAGAAAGGGAAACAAATATAATTAGATCAACCATATGATTTTCCTCTTATAGAGAAGACAAACTACATGCTGACATTACCTGAACAATCTGAGCTTCACCACCCAGAATTTGGAAAGGTGTTACTGCATCTTGCGGACTCTATACAGCAAAATATAATACAATGGTCAGGATAATAGCTTTGCCTACACAGTGGAAGGGCGAGATGCTACATTGTTTTATTTAATTCGAACGAAGTTACTACATTGTCGTCCAAGCTGAAGAGTTTATAACTTCACTCCCTAAAGATGATTCAGAACCCAATTATGAATGTAACGATTGTCAAAAGGATCTCATAACATTAACTAAGGACAGTTGGTAAAGTCCAGAGACACAACTACTGTTGCAAATAAAAGACACCCTTGATAATATCAATGAATCAATCATTAAGCGACAATAGCAAATCCTCTATATCTGTTCTATTCAGACTTATTTCACTCTAATACTATACCTTTAAACATACCGTGAAAAAAAAAACAGTTGTACCACAAACTCCCAAACACTCGGCAAACTAAATTACTATAGATGCAAAATTAATTGCACCATATAAAGAAAAGAGCACTTCAACAAATAATTGTACTCCCCTAAAAATCATCAAATTCATAACTTCTCCTCGTAATGTGATTCGCGAAGCAGTAAAGTTTCCTTCTTTTTACTCTTTTCCGAACTAAATTACTATAGATACAAAATTAATTGCACCAAATAAAGAAAAGAGTACTTCAACAAATATTAGTATTCCCATTTAAAAGTCTTCACAACACCAAATTCATAACTTCTTCCATAATGTGATTTACCAAACTGTAAAATTCAGCTCTTTTAACCCTTTTCCCGACTAAAAAGCAAATATTGTTATTGTCAATTATTGATTCTTTCACCACCACCACCACCCCACCCCACCCCACTCCCAAAAAAAAAACAAATTTGATCTGTAAAAACAAAACTCAGTATCTGCAATCACTATGTCTATAATTTTAACTTTCAAAATAAAGCTGTATCAATTCATACTACTACCACATATACTACGCTGCAGCTAAACCAGCACCCGTTAATGAAATTCTGGATCCGACTCTGAACAATATCTAATTTAAGGAGAAATTCGAATAATAAAAACGTAAAATTACCTGATAAACAAATGGTTGAAACGGCGTCGAGAAGAATGGGGCAGCCATTGATATATAGAATAATACAGATTTCGAAAAGCACGAATTACTTAGAAAAATTCAAGCTTAGGGGTTTTCAGATCGCCGGAAGATCAATTTTCGGATTCTTTTTTTCTTTTTCTCTTTTTTTGGTATTATTTACCAGGTTTTTTTTTTGGTTTTGCTCAAACTAGAATGGTATTAATGAGGTTACATATTAAAACATTTAATTCCATAATTACCCTTGATTTTCATTTGATTTAGTATACATCTTACTGGCTCGCTGCATAAACAGTAGTGGTAGTTTAGTCAATTCAGGACTTAAAAGTTTAATTTATGAATTATTTTTGTAGTTGTATTAATTATGTTATGTTTGCTGTTCGGTTAGTTGTAAGGATTGCACGTCATAGCCTGATGACATGGCAATTTTTTATTGGTTAACGTATCCACGTCGACTTGGTCTCACTTGTCCACCCTGTCAATAGTTGACTGCTGCTGACTGGCTAATCGAAATTAGAAAGCACTAGATGGAGTTTTACACCCAAAGTTCATATCTCTCATATTATGTGTCATGATTCTATTGTGCACGCTCCTTAAGAAAAACTAATTAGGATGAGATTTTGACTACTTTATCCTTGTAACAATAAATTTTTGCGTCGAGAAAAATAAACAATCAAGACTGAAATTTGCGTAACAAATGTAGTACTCTCTCTGTTTCAATTTCGATGAGGTAGTTTGACTCGCGTAAAACCTTTGTGAGGTCACGGCATTTGTGTGGTTATAAAAGCTTTTTATTAAGGGTAAAATGGGTAAAATGAAGAGTTTAAAGTTGAATTATTTTCAAATTTAGAAATGTGTCATTTATTTTAGAACAGATTAAAAAAGAAAGTACCTCATCTAATTTGAAACGTAGGGAGTATTTGATTTCAATAAATGAAAGTGTTACAATCTCTAAGGTATTCCTCTTAATCTTCAAGAATGTAAACTATCTTGATGAGCTTGATTTTGATTCGAGGGCTTGTAAATCTTGGTCTTGAATCTGCTTCTTGAACTTGGATTTGGAATTGATTACGAACAAGTAATTTGATCTTAAACGCCTTGGTATTTGATTTGTCTTCGTTCTTGATCTTGAACTTGAACTTGAACTTGTAGCTTTATCACGACCCAACCATCCCTCCGAAACACGTCGTGAAGGCACCTAGTCTCTACGACTAGATAAGCCTAATAATTTTCAGAGAATACCAATAACGGAAACAAAGTTTAACTTCTAACTGCAATAGATACTGAATAATCAAAAATGATGTTGCTCCGCATGTACACTAACCAAACACTAACTTACACAACTTTTCTAAAACCCGGAATATCATGAGTCACAAGATACAGAAAGGAAATAACATCTCTATACACTAGAGTCTAGTAAAAACAAATACAGAAAGTGTTTGACACGGGGAAGAATAGAAGGGGACTCCGAGGTCTGCGTACGCGGCAGATATACCTTGAAGTCTCCAACAACTGCCTCGAACTCACGGATAATGTGGCAGATAACGAGCACCTGAATCTGCACACAACACATGTGCAGAAGAGTAGTATGAGTACACCACAATTGGTACCCCAGTAAGTACCGAGCCTAACCTCGATCGAGTAGTGACGAGGTCAGGTCAGGCCCACTGGTATATAATAATAAAAGCAGGAGAATAAGCAGTATAATAAGAGACTAGAGTTCAACAAAGGAAAACACAATGAAATAATAGACAACACGCGGAAATAAGCAACAGGGGATCTCCCGAGATACCGTCTCGTAGTCCCAAAAGTAAATATGCAGGGAGAACTCCTGAGGTACCGCCTCGTAGTCTCAAAAGTAAATGTACAGGGAGAACTCCCGAGGTACCGCCTCGTAGTCTCAAAAGTAAATATACAGGGAGAACTCCCGAGGTACCGCCTCGTAGTCTCAAAAGTAAATGTGCGGGGGATCTCCCGGGATACCGTCCCATAGTCCCAAGGTAAATACACAACGCAATCAATTACAGACGATAAGTGCAGCAAGAGAATCTACAGTCTAGACTAAGAACAAGTCGGGAAAAGAAGTAGGAATTCAATAGGCATGCTGCAAGGAGTTCAGTTAAGCAATTAAGGCACGTAGACATGTTATTCTAGGCTAACACGGTAACTAAGCATGCTAGTATTGTAATGACCCAACCGGTCATTTTGCCTTTTAGAAATCTGTTCCCTAAAATAAAACTCCCCGAACATGCTTTTATTATATTATGACTTACGGGGATTGTTGGTTTGGGATTTACAAGCGTTTGGATTGAAATCGGTACACTTGGTTCCTTAAGTTAGCTTTAAATGGACAAGTTTGACTTCGGTCAACATTTTGAGAAAATGACCCCGGAATCGGGATTTGACGGTTCCAATAGGTTCGTATGATAATTTTGGACTTGGGTGTATGTCCGAACCGGATTTTGGATAACCCGGGAGCGTTTTGACGCTTAATAGTAAAAATCAACTAATTGAAGGTTTAAACTTTTTTAAATTTGGTTTGGAGAAGGATTTTGAGTAATTGAAGTCTGTTTGGAATTCCGAGTTTGGAAATAGTTTCGTAAAGTGATTTAAGACTTGCACGCAAAATTTCGTGTCATTCCGAGTAGTTTAAGTATATTTCGGCGCTTTGGAAGTAAATTGAAGAACTTGAAATTTTTAAGTTTAAATCAATTTGGTTTAGGGTATGATTCTTAGATTTTATGTTATTTTACGCGTTCCGAGAATACGAGCGAGTCCGTTTTATGATTTCAAACCTGTTGGTATGTTCGGGCGGGACCCCGGGGCTCCCGAGTGTTAACCGGACGAGGCTCAGACCAATTTCGGACTTGGGAGAAAAATGCTGAAGCTTTCTGCTTCTGGTACATTCGCACCTGCGCTTGGACAGCCGCAGGTGCGACCCTCGCAGATGCGAGCTTCAATCGCAGAAGAGGAAGGGGGAATGAAGGCCTGCCATTGCAGGTGCGGAACATTGGGCGCACCTGCGAACGCGCACGTGCGAGGATTTTTGCGCAGATGCGACCGTGGCCCAGGCGAGTGGAACTCGCACCTGCGAGGAATTTCCGCAGGTGCGAAAGCCACAGGTGCGGTACCCCTTCCACAGGTGCGAAACCACTGCTTGGCAGAATGGTTAAAAATCGGGGCTCAGACATTTTGAGCCTATTTTTTCTCCATTTTCGGGTGATTTCAGAACTTTTGAGAAGGGAGTTCAACTAACAATTTGAAGGTAAGTTAATTCTACGCCCTTTGAGTTAAAATACATAGATTATGGGTAGATTATAACTAGTAAATCCTAGAAATCAAGGGTTTAGGTGAAAAACCTAGATTTTTATAAAAATGAGATTTTAACCACGAAAATAGTTATGGAATTGGGTAAAAATTATATATTTGAGTTCTTGAGATTATGGATAACGTTTCCATCTGAAAATTTTCAGAATCCGGGCACGTGGGCCCGGGCTGAATTTTAGAAATTTTACCATTTTGTATAAGGTAATTTATTTAATAGATGAATTTCGAAATATTGAACATCTATTAATTATTTTATATAACTTTTGAATAGTTTCGGATTTTTCGCATTAAATCGAGAATTTTACGCAACGCAATAATCGGAAAGTGGACTTTGAGACGAGGTAAGTCTCTTGTCTAATCTTGTAAGGGGAAAATTATCCCATAGGGATTAAATTGAATAATTATTGATAATTGCGGGGGCTACGTACGCACGAGGTTACGAGAGTCCGTGCGTAGCTACTATTAATGCTAAAGTCCGAGTAGTTTAGGACTCAAAGCATGCATTACTTGTGTAAATTATATTCTTTGATTAATTAATATTAATTGATATATATGAATATATTGTGAATTGTTAGATAAAGATATTAAAGGATGGAAATCTCATATGCTTGATTTTCTGTTTAAATCAATTAATTGTTAAAAGAAATTATTCTCCTCCCAAATTTATCTCATAATAAATATACTCTCCTTCCAGAGGTACATNCTCTCCTTCCGGAGGTACATAAGAAAATGTCCTCCTTTCTTGTGGAGCGAGCCGAACACCTCGGCAGGATAGATGCATCTATGGATCGCGTCGCACATCCCTCGGCAGTGTACACGACACTCTGGATCGGGTCGTACGTCCTCGGCAGAAATCGTGCCTAAAAATAATAATAATTACACGATACTTTAATAATTTATTTCAGCTTGCGAAACTAATTGATAAATTGGAAAATCCTTGGAATTTAATGAATTATTATTCTTGCTTGTTAAAGAATTAATTGTTATTCCTGTAAATGATATTTAATTGATAAATTGGAAATTATTTGAATTGAAGGAATTTAATTAATATATTGAGAATTGTTGTATTTGAAGGAATTTGATTATTTTCGCTGATTAAATAAATTACTTTAAATTTTATAAATCATGTTGATTTAAATATCCTAGTAGTATTTCAATTATTATTATTGACCCATAGTGAGTGTCAAAGTCGATCATCTCGTCTCTACCACTTCGAGATTAGGCTTGATACTTACTTGTTACACGTTGTTTACGTACTCATACTACACTTGCTATACTTTTTGTGCAGAAACTGAGGCAAGTACTAGTGGGGGACCTATCGTCTTACACTCACGTTATCCAGGGGCATAGTGGTTAGCTGTTTCTTTGATCCGTTCTACAGCTACTAGTGTCTCTCTTTATATTTTTCATTCTGTCTATTTTTATTTCAGACAGTATTTGAGGTTTTGTATAATCTACTAGATGCTCATACACTTGTGACACCAGGTCTTGGCACACACATTGATAGAGTTTGGGTTTTATTATATTTTCTTGATTTTAAATTTTATCAATGTATGCTTAATTTATTAGTTGACTTGCCTAGCTGTAGTGTTGGGCGCCATCACGACTTATATGTGAAATTGGGTCGTGACAACATGATATCAGAGCACTAGGTTCACGTAAATCTCACAAGTTATGAGTAGGCCTAATAGAGTCTTGCGGATCGGTACGGAGACGTCTATACTTATCTTCGAGAGGCTATAGGGTGTTAGGAAATTACCTTTCTTCATATTCCATCGTGCAATTAATGTAGTACTAAATATCCTTCTCTTATTCTCTCACAGATGATGATAACGCGCTCGAATGAAGTTCCAGACCAAGGAAG